CTGCAGACATGTGTGAACTATTCAACGAAACATTTACAGCTAACTACCTTATGCCTACAATTCTGTTACTCGGTAAACTTCTTCACAGTCATTTATTCTAAAATATGGAATAGCCTGCTCCTAGATGTCAGGACTTGCTCTTCAGTTATGTTTCAAACGCTCTCTGTACAAACTGTTTCACTCCACTGATTATATAAATAAACTATTTATTCCTAGAACGAATCAACTAATAGTCTACTACAGTACCTAAAGAACGCGCTGAAATACCTTTACTACACTAAAAACTTGAAATAAACTTGTAGCATAGATGCATAAAAAGACTTAGTAGGAATAAATATTTGTTCAGCAAACTACAATGTACAACTAATATAAACATATATGTCCCACTCCACATACTTTTCCTCTGCCCTTTGATACTTTGTTGCTCGCCTCTTCTGTTGTATTTGCCTTGTAGTAGAAGTTGCATTGATCCACATCCCAACTGAAGTTGAGAAACAAATGAAATCACTTACCCAAATAACATTCCTCAAGGTTTGGCTGGTAATGACTGCGCATCTTTGATAAAATCTACTGTCACAATAACAAGAATCTGAACAGTACCTTATACAAGCACTGTCAGTGATCTAAAATGGCTAACATATAGCTTTCTACGTGTTAACAAAGTTACATGGAGGAATCGACTTCAAGCTTTATTTTTTCCCAAATATTTGTAATTTATCCGACACATACTTGGGTTATTTTGTTAATGAGGAGAGACAATATTTCTATATTTCTTTATGTGCTCCGTTGAACGACCAGCTATCAGATTGTACTCACTAACTGATGTCAGAGAGGACAGCAACCATGTAATTTCACTATAAATCAAATTCATGTAATGTAAATAATACTTATCCATGCCTGTACAACTGGTGTGTCCTGCATATATATGAATAAATATATATTATTCGTAATTTGGCTGATCAATTCTGTTGATTTGCTCTGCCTTTGGTCTACGCGGAACGAATATCACAGAGGTTGTGGGTAGTAGATCTCGCGCTAGAATACTTCGTACTATCCGTGAACATCAACACACGCATCCTCTAATTTATCAGTCGATTAACTGGCTAGTTTTGTGACGACAACTATTATTTTTCGTAATTGTATGAAACTGATTAGAATAATTTATTGCAAAGCCAGAATATTCTTTGTTCAGGTTGGCTTTCAATGCAAGACATGTGAATATGTCACAATCATAAAAAATGTTACTATAATCACGACAACTTTTCGCTAAGTGATGACAAAACAGAACGGCAGTTAATACAGTAAACTTGATTACTGTAATCAATAATTCCTGTTGAGAACAGGATGTTCGGCGAGGAGACTATTTTCAACGAGTTTACTGCTGAGAATTCCATTCTGTATTATAAGTTCTGTTTTTGGAATAAAGTAGATTATTATTGTTATTGTTTTTATGTACATACGGCTTTTTCAATCGGAAAACAGACACCATTCAGAAGGTTTGATTGTTTATCTTCTCCTCATCTCAAAAAGCTACGAAGAGGAGAAGAGTGGCTGTACAAGTTTAAAGACAAGTTTGGTCTAAAAAGGATAAACATGCTGATTAAATCAGAAATTCAGTAGCCGAACACCATATATAACTGAAGACTCTTGTCTTGTAAAACTCCCAGAAACATGTGGGAAATTTTAAGTGAAATTACGGGTTGTGGTAGGCAAAGTGTTGATGTCCCCTCTGTTGATGTGAACGCTTTCAGCAAGTCTTTCATTCACTGTGCTAATGGTGCTTTTGTCCCCAATATAACAAATAACAAGGTCAGTGACTTTCGTGGTTTTAACACTTTTAATGTTCTCAGTTGTTTTTGAAATCTCTACAACCTTCCCAGAGCCTAGGTCCTGATGGTGTACCTACTGTTGACCTAAGGAGATGTGCTGATACATTATGTTGCCCACTTACAAACGTATTCCATACTTCACCTTAGCTATCTGTAGTAGACGAAGTTCAAATACTGAGTCCATTGAAAAGATTCGGCATATTCAGATGAATGACGCTGAATGCTCTTGTTTTTCCACTCAATGAACACTATCGACCAAATATGACAAAACGGGATATCGGATGGCCTTTTTCTGTCTTTAACCAGACCACGATGTGTGTTCAGTGGCACGTCATCATCACAAGTCGCTCCACATTTTCATCTTTATTATTTGTGGAAGAATTATTCGAGTTTGACCACGGATTGATATCAGTCAGAGAACCATTGAACAGGAGGGAGTATTGGACAGCTGTTTCATCCTAGTCTTGATTTTACATGATTTTACAAGGGAGAAAACGAAGAGTGTGCTAAGCTCTATTCTAGATTACTTGATCGAATCCTCTCACTGTGTCAACCGTGACCATGATTTTAAGATCACTTATGGAATTCATGCTAACTTGCTGCGTTTTCTTCACTATAAACCTCTCAAGACGGTGGGGGCATTGGCCATTCATGAATTCAAACTAGACCTTTGTGAATAAAAGAAGTATGCAGGGTTCCCACTTCTGACTTAGCCCTAGAGGTACAGACATTGATTGATTGATTGATTTTGTTTATCTGGTTGATCTATGCACCTCCCGTATTATTGCGACAATTACAAATAGACATTCCTAATAATGTTAGTATGCTCACTTTGAACTGTTTCGACCTGTCTTACTTGTCATTCTCAATACAAACGTTTTATTGCAATAATGAATCCCCCTTTTCAAATTTCACAACATGCAATGTAAGGTTTTATGTTAGGTTCAAGCTGGATATTGTCTCGCTGACACTTTCACTCAGTGTCACCGTGTGGCCATAGTCCTACAAATGCTGTGTAATTGACATCCTTGGGGTGCTATTATGAGCAATCATGTTATTCAGGTGCTCAAGTGGAAGCTGGACAGAAAACGACGAACTGGACATGACTCCGAGGACGACATGGAGGTGATCGTGCGAGGAGGTGTTGGAGGAATATTGTCAATTACGGGGCCAGATATAGACGACTGTTGAGAACAGGACAAAGTGGAGATGTGCTGTCGAATTCCTCACGATTTAAAGTTACCCAGTTTTCAGAGTGCATTCGAAGTGTTTAGCCTACCAATACAAGTCATGCAAGTTGACAGCATACGTTTGGAAAGTGATACTTCGTTATTCCATGACAAACGCATGCAAACATCTGATCCATTTTGTGTCGCCATATCTCATTTAAGCGAGTAGACTAAATGTTACTGAGACGGATCGCGCAAACCCTACTGATGCATAGCAGGAATAATGACGGTGTAAGACATTGACAATATTTCACTCGGGCGTTACCACTTTGCCTGCTATTCTCCCTAACTTCACCTTATTCTTGAAATGATAAATGAAAGGGATACAAGTCTACAGAAATGCATATATTTAGGACGAACTGACGACCAACCAACTAAGATATAGCTTGGTATGAAAGAGTACATGGTTTGTAAAAAAGCATTGCTAAATTTCGCTGTAGTAGATTGTTTACACCTGCGACTTAACCATTGTAAAGTCTACTAATCATGCTGTCAATGAGATCTGCGTCACTATCCGTCAGTTGGTAGTGATACTGGAAAAATATTTGCACTTTCCCATCACCACCAGAATCTCCATGAGAAACTGGATGTAGTGTTTCTACTGAAAATTGAGATTGCACTCTCTCGACTACCTTAAGCTGCATCAAACTAAACTTTGAGCGGCCAGCCCACCAGTGACCTTGGAACACTCAGTATGCAAGTGAGTGACACCGGGAGAAAAATCCTACAATAATGAATAAAATATGCTGATTGAAGTGATATGATATTAAATGAGATATCCGGCACTTTTTGGGTTAGGACTGGGACAGATTAAGTTAAGGCTTTGGCTAATAACACATTAGAGTTAAGTTAAACTATTACTGGGGATATTAGAGTTGACTAGAGTGAGATTATGATTAGCTTGCGGATAGTTTCGCGCTACAGCTAGGTATAGGATGGAGAGGTTTACAGTTAGAGTTAGGCCTAGAATAACTGGATAAGCATATCGATGGCGTGTTTTGATTACTCCAATGAAAGTGCGATGCAAAGCTCAGAGCTATTTTCGTCAATCGTTGAACAAAGGTATCTAGCGTAACTTGACTTTTATCCATTATTTCAGTAAACAGGTGGATTTTATGTGTAGAAACGCCTGTTCATATGATCGGCGTGTTCAAGACACTTTGTCCATTGCTACATGTTGATCCTTAAAGTGAGAATTCGCCAACACGGTTTCTTGTTACACACACCTTAGACGCAACACTCACTCAAATGAAAATCCACCAAACATAGTGTGCATAGGGAAATTCGAGAGCTCTGACCCCCCAATGAGGCGTTGATCCATCTATCCTCTCTCTGTAAACCGGCTGCAGAATAATCATTTAGGCGGTCTCAATATGTCCGAATCTAATGTGGGCTGTTACACGAGAAAGATCCTTCTTCACCTGAATCCAGAGGACCTCATTCGAACTGTTGTAATTTGGGTGTATTGATTCATGTTTGGATTGACATACCAGGATGGTGGGACGGGCGATGAATCGGAATAAGCCAAATTCCGCTTTCACTCCATGGCGTACTGTATGCAAATTCGATTATTATGCTGTAATGCATCAACATTTTCACGTCTTACAATGTGCTGAACACTGTACATGGCCAAATACGAACAATGCTGTATTTACCAGCACAGATGGAAACTTGGAAAGTGTATTGTAAGCGAAATCAAATATTTGAAGTACGCAAAACAAATGCAAGCGTGCTTGACTGAGCGAAGTGCATATGGAACAATCGAAAGCAAATTTTTGATTATACAATGGCAAAAATTCGGTGGGCATTTGTAAAATCAGATTGTGTAAAAGTAAAATATGGTCACATGAATTAGTTTCAAAAGCAATCATTCAGAGTTATTATAGGGGTATTACGACTGCTGTGTATGTTGATTTGTTTTAATGGTCTCACTTGATAATTTGTTTTGTGTACGGCACCAGCGTCATTTTAGTCAGTTCTTCGGTCAGTGGGTCTGCATTCATAAATGTAATGACTACGTTAAACTGTTGCGTTTTCCAATAGATTGTTCGAGTTTTATCTTGTAAATAAACATTCCATTCTAGCTTAGACGACTTTTATTTTTCGATATATAGAGGTAATGTTTTCAATTGTACTTTGTAGAATCAATGTGGATACCTCCAGTTTGTGATAACCCTCCACCTCTTAATATTGAAGAAGAGCTACTTCCTTCAACACTTGGGACCAAACCGCCTACTGTTTCTGCCTCCATTAGTTCAAGTAGTGACCATAAAGAGAACTCACAATATCAGGCAGCGAATATCAGATTCCAGTTCTATCCTGTTCCGGTAATCAGTAGTTAACTTGTTTTCTGTTTGTTCTATTGTGAACGTGTTGCTGAGATTGACCTTTTGCTAGTTGATATGTGTGAAATGATTTAATGATTCAATTCAGTCAGGTGACTTGACTCCCAGTTGAGTCGTCTGTATGTAGAAGTATCACTTTCAAGTGGGAACTCAGTGTTTAATGTATGCCTCTGAAAATGTAAGCATGTTTGTTTCAGTCAGAAGGACTACTATTAAGTAGTCTTATGGATGCTCAGTAACTGTTGGTTTGGATTAAATTGCACGATTATCCGTGTGGTTTAGAGTTGACGGCATTCATGAAATTCACTGTAGAATATTTAGAGATCAAGGCGTTCAGTTGGTAGATTAAGAACCTGGATTAACAACCCTATTAATCAGCTATATGAAAACGTAGATTTCGTCATGAGTTGGGAAAGTGGTACGTGAACATGACTATATTTTCAATGGGAATTATGTGGAAGGCCTCTGACCATTGTTTTGCCACCCAAGATGATTGGGACTTTGTGTTCAGTGATTTCGTCTCTCCGACCAGCATGTCACATTTCTAAAGAAAGGATTTGATAGGGGTTGTGGTGTTTAGGTTACGGAGGACCGAATACTCACTTCCTGAAGTACTAATTAGCTATTAGCATTGGAGAAAGTCTGTCTTTGATTGTAAATATTTGATTTCAGTTTTATCCAGGTGAATTAAATACTTTTGATCACTCTGATTTCTAGCGTGCCAGATGCTTGTCGTCTCCATATCAAGTCTTACCGTCTCACGGAACAACAGTGTATATGTATACGTGGACTGTTCCTGCACCTGATGTCGTTGCCGACCTTTGCTGTGTGGAGAAGAGTTGTTTCGAAAAGGCAGACGGGGCTATTGGGCTTTTGTTTTCGAAACCGATTTCCAAGGTGATTCTAAGCATTTTTTATGAACAGTTATCTCTGAGGGAATATTTTGTTTTCTCTCGTTTGCTTGTGAGGTGTTATTTCATATGTGTGTAAGTGGGAACCTCTTTTATCGTTGTGGACCGGAAGCTTCACTACAGGATGCAGCGTTGAATGTGATATCATTAGGACTGCATTTAATTAGAGTAGTGAAAGTACTAACTTTCATGATCTGAGAAGTCAGTGAATTGTAAAGAGGAATGTGACCACTTCATTACACCTTGATTAGTATTTGTTTTGAGCAGTGATGGAGAAACTTCACTGGCTGGCTGAGTTCACTAAATCATGTATTCTCGTGGACGACAACATGAAAGTGGTAATTGACTAATGGGTGGCACTGTGGCGAGTGCCCAGTCACTTCCAAACCCACCCTGATGAATGAGCCTAAACGACCCTAGTCAATATGTTAGAGTTACCACTCCAACTGAATTTGAGTCCTCATCTTGTCTGAAGGAGCACTGCCATTACGGTGGACAATTCCGCCAGGCTCGGCTTTCCACGGCTGATATACTTCTGCTCACTTAAGTTTTCTTTTGTTGTGTCTGCACCATGTAGCATTGGATTTTGGTGTCAAATGCATACACTTATCTATTGGAAAATGTGGGTAAACACTTCCTCGAAAAGTGTTTTGTTAAGCTATTGTTATCTGACAAATATGTGCAGGGAGCTGGGAGAGGTAATGTCTCAAAATTATCTTAAGATCATTTTCCTGCTTTCTCAATCTTGAGTTTTAATAATTCGCAGTTAATATTCTTATTATGCATTCTGGGATTGTGTCTCATTGGTTTCCGCACACGGATATTGCTCAACATTCTGAGGGTTTGGAGCACCTCTATCTGCTTCTACGGGGTTGGCATGTTAGATATCAGTTATTGATAATGGCTCATAACATAGTACATGAAGGAAATTGTGCACAAGACAAATCAGTTAACTGCTGTACGACGAAGGGAAGTTGGTTTTACTTAAGTGTGGAGTGTTATTTATGAATGTGAATGATCGCTTGGACACATTTGTAACCTCCTGTACATTATTGGCTTCATATGATTTGACAGTCTGAAATTATAGCAGGAATTATTAAGTAAGAAAGCTGAACTCTCTTTGGTGTTTTTTCTTTCTTTTTGTAAACAGAAAGAATATGTTTGTCGAATTCCCCTGTATTTGACACGTGGTATGGCTCGTTCGCGTGTCCGATTAGTGGGGAAGCTTACACTTAGTGAACGGGAATTGGAGTGCATAAAATCAGCTCACTCAGTGATATGTGAACTGATTACAAATATAGCCCATTTATCACATGTTGGTCATAAACCATCGAGTCAGGCTCTTTGCGATCTTATGGAGAAACAGAAAGATCCAAATGAAGTTCCTGAAAGTTTCGGAGTTACAGTTATCGATCGATTTACCGATCTATTATTCAGTCCTGAGAAGGCTAATATTCTGGCGTTGATGACATTAATTCGGTTACCAGGTAAACTTTATTTATTATTATTTTTGTTACCTTTAATTCCTAGAGGAACATAGGACTTCAGCCGTGCGTCTCCATTGCGTTCGGTTCTCTGCTAGAGTATTCACCTTGTTCCAAGTCTGCCCACACGTTTTCATCTCCTCTTCACATGACCTCCTCCAAGTCACCCTTGCACTGACGACCAACTCGCCACTTCCCTTTCGGGTTCCACTCGAGGACTTGTCTAGTGATGTCACTTGATGGTTTCCTCAGAGTATGGCCAATCCATCCCGATTTCTTCCTGCCTATTTGTCTCACAATCGGTTCCTGGTTGGTTCGCTCCCAGAGATTTCTGTTGCTGATCTTTTCTGGCCATCTGATCTTGTGTAGTATTGAGCGAAGACAACTGTCAATGAAGGTCTGTAGTTTGTTTGAGATGCTCTTTATGACGCTTAGTGCAAGTCTCTGATCCGTATGGTAGCACTGACTTCACATTGGAGTTGAAAATCCGGATCTTATTTTTGATGCTGAGTGCTGTTGACCTCCACACAGACTTGAGAGTAGTGAAAGCTTGTCTTGCTTTTCCGATTCTTGCTTTGATACCCTCGTCAGTTCTGTCCGTCTGTAGTTGAAACGATGCTTCCCAGGTAGGTAAGAGGTTGTTTCTTTCAGGTTCCTCCCATTTATGCTGATCGTTGTCTGTTGTTGTTGTTCTTGTCCAGGAATCTTCATCACATCTGTTTTCTCTACGTTCACCTGAAGTCCTATCTTTGATGCTTCTTCTGCCAACTTGTTGCTTTTCACTTGCATATCTTCCTGTTTGCGGGAAATCAGACATATATCGTCGGCGAAGTCCAGATCCTCCAAGTTTTTTGTGTGAGTCCATTTCATGCCTGTTTCCTCATTGCCCGCTGTTTGTCGCATTATCCAGTCTACTGCAATCAGGAAAATCATTGGCGATAGTAGGCAGCCAGCTTGTCTCACTTCTGTCTTCACTTCGTAGGATTCTGTAAGTTTCCCGTTGTGGATGACTTGGCATGCAGCATTGTCGTACAGCTGTTGGATGAGATGTATAATTGTCGGTGGCACCCCATAGTAGCGAAGTAGTTTCCAAATCACCTCTCTATCGACGCTGTCAAAGGCCTTTTCAAAGTTGATGAAGTTGAAGCAGAGAGTGCTGACTGCCATTCCAAGCTGTGTTCAATGATGATCCGTAATGTGGCGATCTGATCAATGCATGACTTCTTTCTCCTGAATCCAGCTTGTTCCGGTCGAAATGTTTCATCCAGGGCATGTTTGATTCTCTCCAGGATGACGCGGCTTAGTATTTTGGTTGGGATGGACAGGAGCATAATTCCGCGCCAGTTCTTGCATTGACTTAAGTCTCCTTTCTTTGGCAGTTTGAATAAGTATCCTTTCTTCCAATCCTCGGGTACTTTGCCTTCTTTCCACACCTTCTCCAGTAGTGGAGTCATCAAGTTCGCTGTTGTCTCAGGGTCCATTTTCAATGCTTCTGCTGGGATTCCATCTGGTCCTGCTGCTTTTCCAGCTTTTAGCATCTTGATTGCCTTCAGGACTTCTGGTTTCGTTGGGGGGTTGCTGTTCACTGGTAGCTCTGTCTCCGATGTTGGTATTGTTGGTTGGGTTGTAGGTGGTGGTCGATTTAGGAGGCTTTTGAAGTGTTCAGCCCAGTGTTTCCTTTGCTCCAGTTGTTTGGTGAGTGACTTTCCATTGTCATCCTTCACTGGCTTAATTTGTGTCAAACTTTTGCCCGATAGGTACGTAGTTGTTTGGTAGAATGTTGCGAGGTCTCCTTTGCCTGCAGCTTGTTCTGCTTCCCTTGCCATGGTTTCATAATACTTTCTTTAGTCTTCTCTGGCACTCTGCTTTACTCTTTTGTTCAGTGTCTTGTAGCTTGCATTCAAATCCTATTTTTGTTGCTCGTCGGTGCACTGGAGAATCTTTTGTTTCACCATCCCTCTCTCCTCTATCAGTCTCCAAGTGTCCGTAGTGAGCTACTGTTTGTCCTGTCTCTTCTTTCTGCCTAGAACTTCCATGCAGGTTTGACTCCACACTGTTTTCAAGTTGTCCCAGTGCTTTTCGACGCTGACCTCTTCACCAGTGTTGATTTGTGTCTCGGCTTTGTCCTTAATGCTTGCAGTGAAGATGTCCTTTGTGTCCTGGTCCTTCAGTTTTTGAGTGTTGGACTTGGCTTGTGGTCTATCTGCAGCTGCTGTTTCTCTGAAAGCTTTTAATTTGAATTGGATTGTCCCTTGTACGAGATAGTGGTCTGAGCCAACGTCTGCTCCTCTTCTTACTTTTGTGTCCAGCACGCTGCGATTGAGATTAAGTCAATTTGGTTTTTGGTTCGCTCATCTGGTGACACCCATGTAGCCTTGTCGATATCCTTGTGTTTGTATACGCTGTCACCAATCACTAGTTCATTGAAAGCGCAGAAGTCGGCGAAGAGTTCTCCATTTTCATTCATTTCTCCGAGAGCTTCTCTACCCATGATGAGTTCCCTTCCTGTGTTGTCTGGTCCCAGTTTGGCGTTCATGTCTCCCATTAGTATTTTAATGTCACCGACTGGAGTATTGTCCACTGTTGCCTGTAGTTGTCTGTAGAATTCTTCTTTTTTTTCGAGGTCTGTGTTGTTTGTCGGTGCATAGCATTGTATAACTGACACTTTCCTTCCTTTGGAGTTGAATCTGGCGGTCATTATCCTGGACGAGATCGCCTCCCATTGCATCAGGGCCTTCGTTGCCGTTAAGGACATCATGATAGCCACGCCCTCGGTGTGCACGTGGTGAACTTTATAGTTCTTGTTTTGATAACATAACTAACCCTCGTCTACTGGTTAATCGTATTTCGCTTAATTAGGTCTATTGAGTGTTGAAGGTGACAAAGTTTGTCTGTGAGTAAATGGGTTGTTTTAAATGTCCCTCTAGTTTCAGTGGTATTAAGACTCCTATGTAGGTCTTCTGATGTTCCTTCTTTACATGGTAGTGCCGTCGATGTTTTGAATTCGTTATCACTTATGTTTTCATCATCTATATCACACACTTGAATAAGACCTGATGGATAGTTGTTCACTGGTATTTTCTCGATTTTTCTATTTCATCACTTAAATCATCTGACGTACTAGTCAGGCTCCTAACTGAACTACATACATATTCGACTGAACCCACTTGTAGTCATTTCGGATGGGATAATTGTAGCTCTAGGTAGATCTTTTGCTATTTGAATTTCCCCTGGCTTCAACTTCATTTCAAATAAGTTAATCAGCCTGCAGTCTGACCGATATCTAATCGGGCATAATATAGATGCCAAATATTTGGATAGTTCATATGTTGTAGTGTTCCTAAAGTTGACTATTGGCCTAGCAGATTATCCTGTCCCATGAATTTTGACAGTAATGCCGTGTATTCTACTAGGAATACTAGTCTTGGTCACTAAGTTAAACCATGTCGACTCACCCAGAGGTGACTTCATTCGGTGTATTAGACCAGCTGTTGGAGTTTTGATCCTTACTATTGATAAGCATGTCTGTGGGTTTCGTAATCTCCTCATAGGGATGCATTTGAATTTGTTGATTGACTTTCTTAATGTAATCTGATTTGTCCATAACTGCTGTTGAGTTAATGTTATATGCTTTGGCAATTACTATGCTTCTGTCGTTAAATTAGCTTTTTCGGGCTGACATTTGTGGTTTTGATGAGTTTTGTTTGTCGTTTTTTGATGTCTCAATGTGTTGACATAGATTGTGTGCTTGAACTTGTGTATCGTTTGTCTAATCTATGGAGCTTAATGTTACTTTTGTGTGAGAAATGAGATCTTCAGGCTTTATTGTGGTAATGGCTGTATTGAAGTTTGGATGTTTCTGAGGCGCTTATATTTCTACTGAGCATAGTGTTGTAGTTGTGAAGTTAAACATGCAAGGTTTTGTTTCGGTGTCCTGCTTGAATGAAGTATGTTAAGCAACTGACTTCTGGTATTTCTTATATTCGTGATTAGTAAACGAGGCCCGAAGAGCTGTGAATTTCAAAGCAGTGCTCAGTAAGAATGAGTGGAGTGGTGATGCTTCTGCCGAGAATCTTAAGATTGGCTTATGCTGATAGCTGAGAAAGGCACTCTTTCCGACTGACCCACGGATGAACTTCTACTGACAGGAAATGTCTAATAGTGTTTTCGATTTTCTAGGGATGTGACGGTTTGTTGATTGATTTTACACTGAGAAGTTTGATTTGATATGTAGTTCGAAGTGTATCTTGGAAAAAACTACACTTGCTACCCAGTGAACAACTGGAGTAAGAACGTAGTGTTTAAAGTAAGGGTTTACACTTTCGGTGTGTAGAGATGCCTAGAATGTAAAGGTATGAAAGCAGATGGTTGTTGTTCATAGTTTGCTGTGGTGTCGACAGAGATATTCAGACACTTCATTTCTCCTGGCTGTCCGTATATTGCAAGTTGTTGTCTATCGATTGCATGTAAAGTGGAAAACGTATTGAATTTACGTGTTTGTAGTATCATGAGGATTTCTGATGGGATTGATTGTTTGTATGTGGTGTGCATTGAAATGTCACGATTCGTGTTCTGTCCTTATGGAAGACTTCACCTCAACTGTTCAGTTCACCATAGATGTAATGGAGGATTAAATGTCTAGAATAAGTTAAGTGTTGTTTGTCCAATAGAACCGCTCACTGTTGTTAGACTCTTTCCTCCAGCAGTCGAAGAAGTAGTCAAGTCTATAATGACAGTTAATTTTAGTCATTTATCGCTCGCTATCCAACTGACCTATGTAGATTGACAGTATTTTCAGAAGCATTCATTCATCGTAGCCACTGTCACTCAGCGATCAGGATAGTATGCAAGCCTCACCATAGTATTGAAGTGGTTGCTCGCTATCATTCGGACTTTTATAAAACGATATTGACGATGTAGATGAAATATGCAATATGAGCTGCACACATCATATTTATGTAAATGGCGTAGAAATATTGCATGCGTGTTTGAATTCTATGATCTGCATTAAAACTGTCCATATTTTTTTAAACTAGTCTGAGTGGTTATCTTCCAATGGGATTATTAACCCCAACGAGAATGTCTTGTTGATGACTGAACCTAATTATTGAGAAACCTCATGCATTTATTCCCCTTGATGAATTTAAATAAAGCAAGAAAAACTGTGGTTTGTGCAGAATAATTATTATTATTAGTAGTAGTCCACGACTGAGGTCGACATCGTCACTGATACACCCTTGAAATGATCAAACTATGCTCACCATTCTGGGGAAATTCATTGAAATGTGTCATGCAAGTTTTATATTTGACACCTATCATCATCACCATCACTAATAGTAGTAGTGGTAGTCGTACTAGTTTTCTCTCCTGTTTATTGTAGTTTTATAAGCTATTCAGTCAGATCTGCCAATAAACACCTAATAGTGTATGTTGAAAATAGATTTAACAATATGCAAGGTGAATGTTTCTGATGATCGTTTATGTTGGTGGACGCTTTTCCACTGGTTTTTATGTTCATCAATTGATGTGTGGAGAGTAACCACTGATAGCACTTGTGATACCCTAATGATCAATCGATAGGTCCATTATGGCCAACTATACAGTGAATCATCGAGCGGATTGACTCAGTGGCGTCATCTCTGTGACTGCAGTAGTGTGATGCGACTTGGAGTCGTCTGTGAAGAGAATCAGTGCCTAGGTGAAGACACTTTGGTAACGAGTGCCAATAAGAACAGAAGCTAGATCAACAGTTTTATGTCGATTACCTCCAACGAGCTTTGAGATGACTGTGTATATGTATACATGTCAGGTGTCCTTTGCAATGGAAGTTAGTTACTTGTACAAGGTGTTTTTATGTAGATTAGACTAGAATTCGTAGATGCTACGTGAAGTGGCGGGTTTGTGGTATTAGTAGAGAGACTTGAGTTACATCTAGATCATTTCTAATATGAATTTTCAATAATGATTGTAGAAGTAATTCCAGGGTGTCTGTCCTATTATGCTGATGCTTGATTTTTGTCTTTTACATTTTCATTCTTTTAGAATGTACTATAGATTATGAAGCTATTGAGAGTCTTGTGAATTGGTCACTTTGTCGTACGAATTCATTGTCTTCGGACATTAAAAACAACACTAGTGGATCAGTAAAGATCAGACCTGTCCGTGGTATTTTGCCCAGTTGGCATGTTACGCTGAGTCAAATACCTCCGGAAGATTGGGTTGGTTTAGTAGTCAGACCTATTCACCTCAAAGATAGCGATCCTAGTATGTTTTCGATTTCAGAAGTGTGTTCGGAAACTCCTGTAAAATGTGCCGCTTCGAAACTTCGTAACACGAAAAATGAAGAAGTATCAGCAGTGACCTATTCAGATTTCTACAGAACGAAGTGTCCCCTTATGAGAGATCTACCCACTGATATTTCAATGCCACTGTGCAAGACGTCACGACTGACGCGTCATCAAAATTGCACCCAAGTTACTGTGGGTCTACGAAGAGGTAAATCAATTCCCAGACAGTCAACTTTCGTATGTGAAGGGTGTTTAGTACATCCATTATCTTCATGGCTTTGGTTTCTGGTGTCTACGATACCTGCAGTTCTTTATCAGATGTCGAGGGCATTGTTGGCATCACAATTGTCCACAGAATTGGCCGCTGAGTTAAAGAATCCCCATCCATTCTGTCAAAGGACGAATCCATCCAATATGACGGATGATTCTCTTTCTCCTGTAACCATTTTCGTGCCTGACCGTCTACGTGATGCTAATTTCTCAAACGGTGAACCGATTGACGCAACTATGTTTGATTTTAAAGTTGATGAACTTACTTCAAAAGAAGATCAGGAGATGGATGATATGGCTGCAAGGGAATTCAAAGGCGCTCCGACAGTTTGTCCTCAACCCAGTGACCTGATCGAGCCAACTACGTTGTTAGGTGCTCGTGATGCAGTGAATCTTGAGCGTTTAGAATTTTATGGCAATTCGTTTCTGCATTTGATATCTACACTGAGTGTTTACGGCACCAGTCCACAGGATGCGGATGAAGGATACTTAAGCTGGAAAAGAACTTCACTTGTATCAAATGCTCACTTGTGTGATATTGCTCGAGATTTGGCATGGTATGGATATTGTACTGGTCAAATATTCTTTCCATCAAAACACTTTGTACCTCCGTGCTACACTGTTTCGTCTGAGGTTAGTGGCTGTGATGGTAATCTTTGTTTGTATTTTCACGTTTGCTCCGAGCATTTCAATTCCTGTATGTATGTATATGTATAGTTACTCAAGTTGAAAACTCATGTGGTAGAGATTGCTAATTTCATGCTGTGTGTGGATGGCTCCACAGAAAGCGTGCAAGTGATTAGTTCCGATTCCGATTTATTGGCTGAGGATAGAAGGCTTGAAGCCTATGTTAATCGTTTTGTAGTGAATTTCTGTGGTTTCTTGAATAAATGAATTGAGGGCGCTGACACGACTTTTGATCTCAATTGGTATTTCCTCTGAGGTGTTCCGATGTCGTCTGGTAGTAGGGAAAAGAGAGAATGGCCAGGTGTGTAGTGATTATTGGAAATTCTGACGGTTGTAATGAGATCTCTCTGCCTGTAGTGTGACCGGGAGGGAGAAGAGATTCAAAGTGTGTAGTCTTTCGTCATATGATAAGTTGGTCATGCCAATAATCATACGTATTTCCCTCCTTTGAAACGCATCTCGAATGTGTGAGTCCCCCTTAAGACAAGGACTGGCGGTCTGGATACAGTTTTCCAGTGTCGACCTGACGAGAGATGTACGCGAAGAAGTGAACATATCTCTGGTGATTCTAGCAAACTCTGTGCGTATTTAGTGCCCATAAAGATGTGAAAGTACGAGCTGTCACATAGGAATCTGTGTTCACTTCGGAAATTCATCATCATTATCAGTCGACTGACAAATAGACAATATACTTGTTCTTTGGTGTACTTACTTGTATTTTTCTAGAATCATTCGCATTGCTATTTTGTTCATCTCTAGAATGTTTGATTTTCGTCCATGTGTGTCCACCTATCAGGGTGAACAGTTATTTTCCACATTCACCAGCCTGTGGATTACACTCGGTGATACTGTTGCAGTCGTCCAGTTTGAAGTCTGTATAAATAAAGATAATTCACCGTTGATTTTTTTCATGGTGACAATCTGGCTAGTAAAATGCCTTTTTGAGTAGTGTATTTTTCTCCGATAGCTTTCATAGCTCTTTTCACTTCTAGTAAGTGAGTATAAAAGTCGTGTCAATTTATTGTGTTTGGCTTTTCTACAGGTTTCTGAATACGATGCTCGTTTATATACCCGCCTATATGACAAGTCTTTAGCGGATATGGTTGAAGCCTTGTTAGGATGTTTTCTAGTGCACATTGGACTACCATCGGCTGTAAATCTCTTACATTATCTTCAAATATGTCCGGTGAATTGGAATACAATAAAATGTGACAAAGAATATAAGATTGATGCTCCATGGCATTGCCTTCTTCACTCAGAAAATGATATTGCTAGCAGTTCAAATTCCAGACGTCACCTTCTCCGTGCATCATCACAGAATTCACCGGCCACTTACAAATATCGAGATCTCAATGAGAAATATTTTCGTTTACAATTGAAATTGGATTATCGCTTTAGAAATATTGCATTACTTGCTACAGCTATGACACACCGGTCATCAACTAACACAGAGCACTGGGGGAATTATCAGAGGTAAGCTGTAGTTCATTCTTCTCTTTCTCTTCTAAAATACGTGTTTCTTTAATGTAAAACATTTGGCAACTTGGATTGAGTGAGTAGTGCACACTTTTATTTAATTAATGATTGACTAAAACACATCCAGCACATTATATATGGGTACGAAGAAATGCTCCACACAAAATCGGATAGTTTGTGTGGGTTGTGAGATACTGGTCGGACGTGTAGACTGATGCAAGTGGTTGAATGAAAGCGGCCACCTGTCTCCCCCCGAGCCTTTGGCTTAAAGTCAGATCCACAAGGCAACCAATGCATGTATTGGAATCAGGGTTTTCCAGCTCCGTTAAGTCAACCCGAATGTCCACCAGTCCCAGTATGACGAGGTGTTCCACATCTTTAATGACAATATTCATATGCAGAGTGACTGTGATGAATTCTTATTTGTTCGATCTGTCTATTTATCTTAAACTTTGCCATGGATGACATTCTGGAGCCATCTGTGAGAGACGTGTGTGTTGGCGGTGTAGATTTGCTTCCTATTGAAAGACCTTTTGACCTCGAGAATGCAGGTGATATCGTCTTATTGTGCGATAGCATGCAGGCTGCCCAAATGGCGCGTAATAGGTTGGTGATCAGTGTCTGTAAGTATAGTATGTGCTTTTCGCCATCTGAGTGCAAGGTGTTGTTACAAGATTGGCAGGAGCGTGCACCTGGACTCACTCCAGCAGATGGACTGCTTGAAGTTATCGATAAGTTCGTGTATCTGAGTAGTTGTGTGGGTGCTGGCGGAGGTATGACGGACAGGATTTCCAACTGTATTATGAACGCTAGGGTGGCGTACGTCAAATGACACGGGGCTTGGCGAATTAATGTATGTCGTGTAGATGTTAGACCTTCTTAGTATTTAACCACCAAGGTCGGGTTTACAGTGCATCAGTGCACTCTGTCTTGTTCTACGCCTTCGAAAACTGGTTATAGGATTAGGCGACAAAATTGAATTTCACAGTATGGAAGTTATGCAGAAGAATTTTAGAAATCACAAAGACCATCTCATATCAGAAGCAGCTCATGTCAAAGGAAATGGAGTCTGTCTGAATTTGATCTGGTCCCAACAACTGCGCGTCGGCTACCATCAAGTGAGAGAATCAACATAAATGTGATTATTAATTTCAGTGTGAAGTTATTGGAAGTTGTAATGCTGGCACGTCATCACACCAGCTGTGTTTCAGACAAGTAATTACAAATGACATGAGTCTGGGAGAGTTAATGTCTGTTGTGTGGATGTTTGACTTTCTTGGAATTTAACCACTCTGAAGATGATTTGTCCTTACGACCCAGCATAAGCTAATACAGCAGTTTTGTAGAGACGCGTAAGCACTCGATTCCCAGACTTACTACTTTACTTTACTTCGGCTATCTCCTACGGGAGGATGAGCCGGCTTCATGAACATCTCGAATCATCGCTGCCCAGGCGCGGAAGAGTCGTTTGTAAGAGAGTTCATGAAGTTTCATGGGAATTTGGTACGAGTGATGTCCCCAGAATCGCTCGGCCTTTTGTTTGAGAGTGCAGCTCTAGCCTTTACACAACCAAGTGTGACCTACAAGGCAGTAGGAGTGGAGTAGGGAGTCCACTATCCATTGGCAACCAGTGACCAGAGTTCGGTTCATACGCCATTTTGAATGGGGCCAGACATCCAAGACATCCAACAAGCCCTTTGTCCATACGTCTGCCGGTGAGCTCCAGTGAGCTTCATACGCCAGTCGTTGGAGGTTTGGAATCAGGGTTTAGCCATCTCCCCTAGACTGTCATCCAACGGGCAGTCAACCCGGTGAAGAGCGCCGGGCATCCGCTTTCGCCCTCTCACTATGGTGAAAAACACCTCCGCCACGTGAAGGCAGTGAGTGGGACTTCCTCAGGAGAGGCTATGTAAGACGCCCGGTCATATGGGAGCATTTCAAGAGGTGTGCGGAGGGGTGGCCAACCCGCAGCGCAAGGCACCCACCCCCGACCATCCTGAGGCTTTGGAGACGATGGATGACAAGTTCCAATCCTATTCCACCTGCTCCAACCCGTTGAAATGTGTAGTAAATGAGCTGGAGAAGCATTGATAAGAAAACATCTAGTCTTGCATCTGAACAAGGTGTGTGTAGACATGAAACACACTTGTTTTTAGTGTCTAAACAGTCTGTATGTGTGGTTACTTGGTTACACATTTATAATAGGCTGTACAGTGTTGATATTGGTTTGTGAGTGTGGACAATGATTGTTGCCAGTTTGTGTAATGTTTTGAGAGCAGGGAATGTCAGTTATTGGGTTATGATTACCCGTTTATGTGAATTGTCTCGGCCACATTGTTTATTTTGGTTGGGGGGTAGGTAGATTGATGGGACGATGACTTCTATCTTGCGGAGCGATTGGACAAGTTGTTGACTTGAAATAAAATCCAGGGGCTGACATCTGACAAGTGTTTGTGAGCGAATTTCTTTGCACGTGGACTGTACCTAATTTGTTGTACTTAAATGAATGAGATAAATGCAGAATTGATGTATCATGTGTGCATGCGTTGGTGAAGTTTTACCACTGTTGACTTTTCATCTCTTTTTATTGTTTCATATGTTGTTGTTTTGTTTTCATGGAACACTTGTGTCATCTGCCTATTCATCATGGTTGTGTTGTGACAATGAAACAAGATTGGAATTTCTCGGTGATTCGGTTATGGGTTTCATTGTGAGCAATCAGCTGTTCAGAAAGTGTTCTCATGCTTCTCCAGGTAAGTGTGTTAAAGTGAAATGAGTGTTGTTATGAATTTGCGACTTTTTCTTCTCAAAATGTTGATGTTGGAGTGATGAAATGGGATAGCCTGAATATTCCGCCCCTCTCCGTTTGTGTGACATTTACTGTTACAGAGTAGTGAGAACCGTGAAGTTGTTGAAATCAATACCTGGTAGAATTTTTCCCCGATTGATGTGAAGTATCTAAATAATACGCCATCATGTCACTGATGTGATTACTTGAACACGAGAAGGCTACAATCAGCCTCATTGTTCTGGTATGTTATCAAGCCACACTAATGTTGACGATTAAAGTGTTTTGCAAATATGAATTGTTTTTTCAAGAAAGGATAAATGGTCAGTGGACGCGTCATTTCTTCGTTGTTCCATCATGTATGCATTAATTTATCTACCAACGAATATGCATGTACTGCTAATGGCCCAACAAGTCATATAGTCACAAGGAAGCTATAAAATGCCATAGCAGTGAGAATCTCCTAAGTTAACTGTCTAAGTTATTGCAAAATCCGAGAAGTAATGGATAGCGGTTTTTGGGTTGAAATATTTATAGTGATGAACAGATTTATAACGAAGTAGATGTCGACGGGTACGAAGATCACCTAGGAAACATAATGAATGTGAATGATAATCACAGGGATTGTTGGTCATAGACAAGTCAGTGAAGAATGTTGCATGTTCTTGTTGTTGTTATCAGAACGCAGTTATCCGAACCAGGGTTTCCACTTATTTGGCTGTGATGCACACTTATTGCGTGAAGGCTGAAGTAGGTGGAGTGAGATTTGAACGCAGAACTCATTGACTGAGTGTTTGAGCCAATGAACTGCATCTCAGAACTACATCAGAAAAGAAGCAAATCAATAGGTAGTGTGATTTCGGAGTGCGTTCGGCACACAGCATGATCCCACCAAGTTAGGCAGTTAGTTATCTTTGAGTTTCTCGATGCTGTTGGTGAGTTATCAGTGACCAGGTCGGTCGGTTTTCGACATAGAACTTTGCACATATGTGCGGCAGTTCAAGTCGCCACACTCTATGTAGCACACAAAGGAAGAGAAGAAAGTAGGGGAAATGCATAATATAGACAGTAAACAGAGGTTTGAGACAAAGGAATAGTAATAACAAAGAACAAAACAGTTTCATTGGAAATCATAAGTCACAAGGAGTGTATGTATCTACACCACTGAGAACGATTTTGAGCCATGTCACCAATTGTTTCCAACCATTGGTTTTTACCGTCCCGAGGACCCCAACCAGGAAGTCTACACCTTCCTACGTGGCTTAGACTAACTGTTGTAGACTTCATTAACTGGTGCCATGTTTTCGTTTGACCGCCTCTAGCTCTTTACCAGCCTGGCCCTATATCAGCTAACATTGACCGTCGAGGAAGCCGATGACTAGGCATACGTAACACATGTCCTAACCATCTCACTCAATGTAATTTCACAGTCTCGTCGACTGATTTCCCCGCCTTACCTAGCACTCGAGGCCTAACCTCAATATTGCTCACCTTATTATCAGTCACCACGTTGACGGCCATTTTGACAGAAAACTAGCATACAGCCAATCTCTTTTAGGAGGAGAATTCAGTCTGCACCAAACCCAAGGATTGGATGCATGACATTAGTTGCTACCTAGTGTCAAATCAAAGTATCCATTACAGTCCTATTGTAGGTGATTCGTGGGGTTGAGTAGCAGATTGGAAATGTCTCTGACTGTACCATTCAGTGGGTAACCCGAGTTGGAATCTCAGAAGGGACATGAATTCCTTGAAGATTTCAGATACGCCTTGCTGACAAGTGCCAAGGAGGACGAAGCCTAGGTCGAAGGCTTCCTGGCAGTTGCCTCAAATCACTTCACTTGAGATACAGACTTGGTGTTGTGAACTGTTAAGCTGAGCGTGTGGTGACTTTGCAGCTACTTGTTTCCTGAGTGTCTAACGATGGATTTATTTTTATACATAAGTGCAATCACTAGACTTCTGAAAAACAGCGAGAGTGAGAGGGAGTCGGAGACAGTTTTCCACTTTTTCCTGCAATAATGGCTTATGAAAAAATTATCTATATTTCATTGTTGGCTGGATGTCAATGACGCCTCCAAGTGATAAAATATTTCATATTATGTTTCGTTCGTGTCGATGTTTAGAAGCAAAGATCAAGTATTTTCTCCTTTTCTTTTTTCCCCACTTTAATTTGAAGGTAAACTGAGTGAAATGCGATCGACAATCGTGAGTAATAACAATTTGGCCAACACTGTAGTCGAGCATGAAATATATGCATTTATTGACTCTGGGGTTTGTGATATAAAGCCGTGCATTGATGAGATACAAAGTATTCATCAGCGAACCGATTCGATTTGTGAACGTATCGAGGTAAATTAAGAGATTTCTGCGTTGTTCACTATTACTAATTGTCTTGACTATATTGTAGAGTTGTAGGCTAATTAAATAGTCATATATATACCAGGCTAAAGTGCAGTATGTTCATTTATTATGGTAATGCTGATAATCGTCACTGCTGAAGACAATCGCCAGAGTATTGTTAAGTATTGAAAGCAAAAATGTAAAGACTGTGTATATTCGAGGCTATCTACTTATCTATCGTGCTCTGTGAGTGCAGGAGAAGATTATCAGCAAATAGCTCGTAAATATAATGTAGCATATTGAAATCGTGCTTTCATTTGACAGTCTGTATGTATATTTATCAGCAGGTGTGATTTGTGGACAGAGCATGTGAAGAGCAGTTTCTTTGACGTGAACCACCAGCCTAGACTAGCCTTGATTGTAGGTTTTGGTGAGCAATCTGGCCGGACGGGGGAGACGGCTGTTGTGTGGTCGCTCCACAGAATGACACTGCATGCGCTGGTGTCACCTTGCAAGAGTCAGGTGTGGGTGTGTTCGGCTCTTCTGAAAACCAATGTATGACTGGTGAGTCAGTGGGTGTATCACTATGTGTACTCTCATGGGTGGTGCAATGGTAGAATGCTCGCCTGCCACACGGGTGGTGCTGGTTCGCTTCCCTACCGGCACACACCTAAACCTTGCCTAGCTGGTGAAGTAAGCCCGGTAAAGAGGAAAGGTTTGTAGTGAGACGTAAAACAAGTTCATGTATTGGTGTTATGTTTTAGTCCGACCGTCCTTGCTTTTTCATGGTATTTCTGTTTCAGTTAACTTTTCCGGTGGAGGTAGTTGTTGCCTTGGTGTAGGTAACACATATGGTAACCATCTGTATCTGTGATGCGCGACATCCGTTGTTGGTTAATTCTGTTGATTATTGTCATTGACTGAGTGGGCCTCAACATAGAGGTTTGCACAGAATTGCAGCAGTTCAAGTTGTCACACACTATGTTGTACACAAATTCAGAACAAAGAGATCGAAAGGAATGATAGCAAGCAGAAATGTGAGGAAGAAAGAATAGTCACAGGGAAAAGCAAGACGATTTAGTGGTTGTGGGGGATCGTGGAGAGGGAATGCATCTACGCCATTGGGAGCCATATCAGCGACAGTCTGTAGCCATTGATTCTTAGTATCTATCTATCCTTCATTATTGTTAACCACTTTGATCTGTCTAAAACGAGAGGGTAGGGCTGCACTTCAACGAAGCAAAAGTAGATTAAGCACAGAGGTATTTTAAGACTCGGCTTTTCGAAAAAGCTATAAGGGAATTTTGTCAGTTTCGGAACTTGCATGATATTTCATAAAGGTATACTAAATGAGGAGTTTGTGATCATTTTAAAAGAGCATGTGGAATTTATGTGGTTTTTTATCACGATGTTAGTCTTGTACCAGTCAAATGAAGATATTGACGAAGTGTAAACCGATTAACCTTAATGACAATTCACTTAACTGTCTGTGCGTAGTGTGTAAATATTGACTCTTACAGTTTCACTGAAGTCTGTGTTTCATCATACTGCTTTTATTACTTTACTTCACTTTACTACATAGCTACTGATGAAGAAGGTTGGTGAGGGACTGAATGTGAAAATTTTAGCCGATGTATTTGAATCAATTCTTGGGGCTATTTTTGTGGATAGTAACGGGAATCATGCTGTGTTATCATCAATTATTTTGCGATTCTTAGGCAGAAGTATTGGTGAGTTTTTCTTTTCGCAGTAGTAGTAATAGTTGTTGTTGTCGCTGCTGTTGAGAGTTTTATTGTCTGTGAAGAAACCATTTCATTGTGTTTTGTTTTGTTTTTGTGATAGGAGAATCGTAGAAAATGAATCTCGTAGTTATGTGCATGTATTTGGAGAAAGTAGAGTGAGATTATGTTCGTTGAGACATTGGCTAATGTGATGTATCAATTGCAAGCGTGATCACAGTTGTTATATTTTCGTCAGGAAGAGTTAGAGATATGATTGAGAAGCAAGCAGCAGTGGAGGGTCGTTTCGTGCCATTCTGGGATTCTTCTCAGAATTCTTCTCGATAACCCCTCGAGGAATGAAACCCGGGTCCTGCAGGTTACGAGACCAAGTGACTGAATGGTCAACGAGCCTGTTGTCATTTTGGTAACTTTAGGGTGGTGCCATTGCCATCGGTCGAAAATAAAAGGAGTCCAACAATGTCAGAATCGCACCAATGTTTAGATAAACTATGATAGGACAGAGTTACGTATGTTAGCACTACCCGAATAGCTCATACTAACATTTATTGTTTTACCAATGTATCACTATCAGAATACTTGTGAATTTACCTCGACTATTGAAATTGTGGTTTTAGAAGTATTAAATACAGGTCCAGCTTAATCTGTGCCCACAATTTGCATATTGGCTGGTGGTGGGGTTGCACTAGTGATAAGTGGTGTTACTCATGAATCGTGGTCCTAGTTACATGCACCGACAATCGGAAGTAGTAAGTTGTGTACCTACAGAGGTGTTATGAGTTTACAGCAGTTCAAAGAAACCATTGATAGCCTTGTATTTATATTTTCGTCAACGGGTGTTTGTTTATGAACGTGCATTAATATTCAGGTAGTTTTGAGTCATTGTAGGACATCGTGATTTCGGTAACATCAGTTTTACTAAATATCTTGTTGTATTGGAAAATATCCCTGGACTAGTTATGAAGGGAAAGAAAAGCCTCAGTGTACATCACAGTTAATTTAATGTCTCGTAAAGAAGAAACACCACTGTTACTGAAACGTCAAACCTCAGGCAGGCAGTCAGGTAGGCGTGGAGCCTCATGTTCCACTCAGCACACAAAGCCATAAGACAAGAATAATAATTAATCAATTTATATCAATAAGTAAACCGTTTTCTTTATTTTCACTGTCCTCTTTCAGATTATTGCATTGACAAACTACCGAAGAATCCAATTCAGCAGCTTCCTTTATCGCATCCTGATATACGCCATCAGTACGTCTAGGAAGAGATGTTTTCCAAATTACATTTATAATTAACGCATCGCTTCATGTGTGTATATACGAATTGAAACAAGTTGTTCATCTGTTGTGAAACTGACTAGTTTGTTCACAGAGTTGATAACAATGCTACGTGTAATACTTTTCGTCATATAAATACTGCTTACCTGTTATGTATTTACGGAGACAGAAATCATTCGCTGTCCGATGCTGTGGTATAAATTCACGAAGAAGAAAAATACCATTTCCCCCAAATGTAGCTTTATTGTTCCGAAACTTTTGAAATTAGTAGTATTGTGTTTTTAGAATTAATTTTCCTGTGTTTTTGTTCTCAGCATTTTGTGGTGAAAAAGGAAAAATCTTAATTAATCTTCTGTTTACTTTTCAGGAACAGTTCTGTTGCTTTCAGCTCACAGAACAGTCAGAAACGGTATGTTATGAAGCATGCGAACCAATTTATTGTGTATTATTGGTGTATGTTTTTTTTTCTTTTTAACCAATGGTTCGATTTCTGGGTATTACAATGCTTGCACAAAAGATTTTGAGTTTGCGTCTTTACTTGATGGAGTAACAAGTGTTACCGAGAGAATAGATATTTTACTGTAAGGGTGTTAAAATAGCACTGAATTACTATTATTATTATTGTTATTGTGTGTTCATCTAGTTATGTGCTAGTAATGATGCAACCAGTCCGTTTGATTCGTTCAAACAGGAAGAACGATCATATTTGCAGAATGATACGACCTCATTTCATTCCATTGATCCTCGTAAACTGAATACAACGTAGACGAAGATTGTGAATGTACTTTTCTCACAGTGGCGTCGAGTTACCGATTGAAAGTGCTGGAATAGCTAATTATTTATAGGTGAAACTAGACAAGAAGTGGGCTAAGGAAACGAGGTGTAAACCTGACATAGAAACAAGGATAGACTAGAGACAGAGTAAATTTATACCTGATATATTATGATGGGAATTTCAATAGGACGGAGTGGATATTAGAAGTGGAATCACGACTCAGACAACCAATTGAGTAAAGCTGGAAACTCATTAGTGAATTCATCTCAGTAGTTGGTTGAAATCAAAATTAGGTGAAGTGTTAGGCAACAGAACCAAACACGAAAGGTCCACGAACGAAACAGTTGCAGTTACCAGGGTGTAGAGACTGACTGACTGCTTTCAACAAAGAACCTTGCACCAATGTGCAGCAGTTCAAGTCGCCACACTTCACTCAGCACACAAAGCCAGAGAAGAAGAAGAAAGTAAGAAGAGACGCAAACTAGAGACAGTAAACAGAGATATGAGGCACAAAGAATTGTAATATCGAAGAACAATATAGTGTTATTGTGTGTTATAAGTCACAAGTAGTGGATGCACATGTGCCGTTGAGAACGATTTTGAGCCATTTCATCAATTGTCCCCAGCCATTGGTGTGTACCGTTCCGAGGACCCTAACCAGGAAGTCTACATCTTCCAAGTGACTTAAATTAAGTGTTGTGGATTTCATTGACTGATGAAGCCATGTTTTGGTTTGACAACCAGCGGCTCTTTTCTAAACGAACTCGATGTCAGCTAATATTGCCTGCCGAGGAAGGCGATGACAAGGCTAGACATGCGTAACACATGTCCTAACCATCTCAATCGATGTAACTTCACAGTCTCGTCGATTGATTTCCCCTCTTTACCCAGCACTCGACGCCTAAGCTCAACATTGCTCGCCGTATTATACCACGTAACACGGGAGATAGAACGCAGGCACCTATGATCAAAGACAGCTAGTCTTTCGATGTCTTCCACTCTTAATGGCCAGGTCTCACAGCCATAGAGAAGGATGAAACGGACTGGTGAGCAGTGCACAGGCCCTTTGGTCGAAAGTCAGCCGGTTGTCACGTCTACGCCAGAGACAGCGTAAACTGGCATATGCGAAACGCGCCTTCTGTAGCCGTGCTGAGATTTCGTCAGCGACCAACCTATCGGGGCTGATGCAACCTCCCAAATAAGTGAAGTGGTCAACATGCTCCACCAATCTCTTCACTCCCCATTTCTAAGCTAGGGGTCAATGTAGTCCAGTCCTGTAGAATCACCTTACATTTGGTGGGGACGAATCGCATGCAAAACAGTCGAAGATTGCAGCTCAAGGTGTTCAGAGGACTCTGCTTTGCCTCGTCTCAGATTAGTGACAGCTTTAGTAACCTCAGTTAGTGATGGTGGACCAGTGTCTATATCCCATTCAGGGAGGTGTTGGATGTTCGATAAGTTGAGAGTTGCGGTAGGCCAATTAAATTCCTCCTCAAGGTGTTCTCTCCAACGTTCTAGTCGTCTATCCTGAGGGCTAATTATGGTGCTATTTTTCTCAGAGATTGTTTTACTTATCGTTTGCCTTTTACCATCTGTTTCCCTGGTAAGCCTAAATAGTTGTCTGATATTACCAATCGCCGATGCCATTTTCATCTCTTTTGCTCTTGTCGCCCACCACTGTTTACGGTCGTTTCGGAGGCTTCTTGTTAGCTTGCGTTTGAACAGCTTTCGCTCATCATAATCGGAGCTCGCTGGAATCAGTCTTCTTGTGTCAGTCAGTTCGGATGAGGCGGCAGAAATCCACCGGCTCTTAATAACTTTTAGTTTCAGGTTATTAACAGTTGTGTCTACAGCTAACTGTATGTTGTGCCAGGCTTCTTCAATAGGAGTCCTACTGTCGACCTCAGGTACACGTTTTGCTATTTCTTCCTTAAATAGCGACTCGGAGTCTCGATCTAGTTGAGGGGACGTAACTGCTTCACTGCCAACAATTTATGTCCGTTTAGTCGTTTTGCAGCAAACTAGACAGTTTCAGGTAGAATTCATCCTTTATTTCATCCGAGCTGCAGTCTGTTGGGGGCGTAAGCGGAAGCTACGAAAAGACAACGACGTATAACGTCGTCCTTACTTCTTCTAACAGACCCGTTCAGATGGACCGCACACCTACGACTATCTACTGGAATCCAGTCAAGAAGTGATTTTTCCGCCCTAACGCTCAATGCTATGCCTACACCTGCGAGTCCTCGCGAACTAGCTAAGGGGTGTCCTGACACCCTTTAAGTGAATTTTGCAGATTCACCTTGTTGGCCAGGTGAGGTTAAGTGGATGACCACACTCGGGTCTTGTATGTGTGTCTCTGAAACACAGCATACATCCATGGCTCGAGATGCCAGAGTTCTTGCTAGTGATGCCTGTTGTCCGATTTGACAGAGAGTCCTGACGTTGAATGCTCCTAAATGAAGTTGGCAACGTGGCTTTAGGAGGCTGTCGGGGGTGTTTTTCTGGCTCTCATCGTTGCTTGTGGTCACAGAGTGAAGGAAAGGTGACTCACTAGCCTGAAGAATAGTACCGACTCTACTAGGGAAGTAAGATGCTGAAGGTGATGTGGGTAAAGCAGAATGATGCTCAGAAAGGCTGCGTTTGCTTTCGGAAGTATGTGGGCGGTTGTTACTTCCCAGCTGCCCACACCGTGGAAGTTGATCGATTCTTGGGGTACCTGAAACAGAAAGAGGGTTGGTGTTGCGTGACCGAGGAGCCCAGGGTACAACTGCTTGAGACCGGTCACACACGGTCTGTATGAACTGGTTTCTTGGATTGGTTCCGTACTAGTAAATTTTACCTCCGGTTACGGACTACCGTAGGGCAAGTCGGGATGTACATTTGCTTGGGTCGACCTTTGCTAACCCCCTCTCCAGAGTGTAGAGACAGCTTAGCTGGCATGCTCGTCATCTCAGAGAAACAGCTTACATATAAGGCGTTACAATTCCCACAATTGATCTGGTACACACAGTTCTGTTGGTTGTCTTCTTCTATTTTATCCTTAACCTTCACAAGCGATGAGCTTTAGGGTGTTAGTTACACGAAAATGCACTCTTATGTCATGATTGTTGAGGATTCGCTTATTTCATCCTGTGTTTGTTTGCAGTAAGGAATCACCACTGTGCTAACCCAATTCTTAGCACCAGATTTCGATTCATCCTTATTTTCACATTGTAAACATCGTTTTATGAAGGCTTTGGGATAATTATTTGATTCAAGAGTGAACTAAACCAATTTATCTGATATCCTGTTTAGTGTTGAATTGATGCATATTATCTCTGTCTTAGTGATCCATTTGCGGTGTAGTGTGTGGATACTACATTCATCATGTTTTTTTTTGTTTTCCTTCACGTTCCCAGTGGAACATAGGGCTTCAAGCTGGTCGCTTGAAGTTTCTGTAGCAGTGTTTATTTTACAGAATGGGGTTGCTAGCCTCATGCCCAACCTTTCCTCTCCACCAGCATTATTTCTGACTTAGCGAGTTAAAGGAGTGCGTCGGCTGGGGATCGAACCCCGGACCATGTGCATGGTTGGCGAGCGTCCTAACCACTATGCCACCGACGCACATCATGTTGTTAGTAACAATATTTCTTCAATGATTCCTGTCATATAAATATCGAAGAGAATATTCTTTCTTTATTGAATCAGTCTTTCCAATTCTATTTTTTACGTGATTTGTTCAGAATTTCAATGTTTGTTGTTATTTGGTTGTTGCTGGATCTTCTGGTGAACATTTTGACTTATTTATTTATTTTTGTGATAGAAATTCAAACAATACAGCATCGGATTCAGATAATGAAAATACGTATGAGTTGATTGCATCGACTTCTGGTAAACGTATCTGTGTCACTGGGAATACACGAAATGAAGGTCGTCTTCAATTAGCTGAAACTTTGGCTATATCAGATGAGAATAAAGAGAATGTCGCGATTTCCGATGATCAAGTATGCATGTCGTTATCGTAGTTGAGAGTGGATGGGTTGGTTGATGAATTTCAACATTCGCTACTTTTTAACTGATTGACACTTCGCTTGTTACCGAAGAAGATTTTATTTTCTCTTATTTTTTGTACTAGTTATATCTTTATTTACTCTCTCTCTCTCTCTTGAGAGAATGAACAAATAAACATTTTGATTCGGTGAAGTGTTCACCTCTAGAATGTTGTCTTTATTTTAATTTAAACGTTCAATGTGCGCGTTGTCTCAGTTATGGCTGACAGTTGGTGGCTAAGTTTCAACATTGTAGTGTGTACAGAAGTGCAAGAGTTTGGGTTGCCATAATCGATGTACCAGACAAAGGTAGAACAAGGAAAGAACTATAATGAGGAGAGATTTTCATTCGAGAAAGAATAGTAACATGGAAAGAAGATGAGGGATCAATAGATCTGGGAGATAACAGAGAGTGAATGCATCTGTGCCACTGAGAACGGTTTTGAGCCGTATTTTGTGCCATTTGTGGCTCAGCATCATGAGGACCCCAGTCAGATAGCCTACACCTGCCTACGTGGTTGGTTCAAACCAACTGAGTCACATGTCATTGTTTCTTTCTCACCTTGTAGTTTAGATTTTTTCAGGCATCCTATTTCATGCTTGAGGTAGAAATGAAATCAGTGCATTAGACATAGTCGAAGCATCCGTACTGGGGGTCGACTTGTCAAGAGAGGCCGAAAATTTCCGTCCACTGAAACTCAGTGGGAACAGTATCATTCACTGAGAGCGCGGGTAAAACCTGTCAGCGAGTCCGAAATAGGAGGGAGTGGGCATCGTGGATTTCACCGCGCGTCACCCTCCACGAAATTACTTAGAGCTCATTGGACTGAAATTTGGCTGAATGTCAGTTCGTTAGTGGATTAGCTAATCAGAATGATGGTCACACTGTGCTCACTTCTATAGTAATTTGTATTAAAAGCGTAGTCATCTCTCTCTCCCAATGTATGGTGTTTATTTACTTATGCATAGGACGAAATAGCTGTGTAGTACCCATGTGATTCATCCAAGTGCCACTCCATCATGTGAAGTATCAGCTTCGAAAATGTACGATGGCCTAACATTACATCTAAATCTCGAAAACAATTGACATGCATTTAGTATACGATTGAAGAGTGTAAAATATTTCTTCTTAGCATGCATGAATTAAAAGTCAGTGTGAACGAAGAATTCTGGTTTCATTAAATTCACTCTGGAGACAGATATCTTGCAGAATAGCACACTTGTCATGATTACTAATTCGATGTCATTTTATGGCTGTGAAACGTGTTTGTTAGGTAGTTTGTACAAAGATGGCATATATGAAATAGACTATAGTGAGACTGTTGTGAATAGATCATCCTCGTCATCAAATAATGAATATGTGAAATGAGTGAAGTGGAGTCATGGATTATCACTAACAATAATCAATCAGAATAGCTTGTCAGTTTCCATATGTATAAGAAAAATTCGACAGTGCTATAGGAACGGTAGAATGAAGAAGGTAAATGATAAAATATTGAGACCAGATTAGTTTAAACAGTGGGAAATACTGAGGAGGTAACTTTAATCGAAGTCTGGTCACGATGGGGATGACCTCGGGTTGCTCACTCTGAACACAGAGTTCTGACTTAGTTTATCTTAAGTCAACAGCTTTAGGTATGTGTAGAAGAGTAGGCGTACTGTATATGGTAATGAGTGCGAGGTGTGACGAATAGTCCTAAAGAATACGTTAACGCTAATCCGATGTCATGTATCTGCGGAGTGTGATAGAATTGAACTTTCTATGCATCTGATTTCACCCTGTGTATATTAGGCTGGTGAATGATCTCAGATCTATAGACGAATGTCATGATGAAGTGTTCACCTCAATCTTAGTATTGTTTTGTCCAATGCAGTCCACTCGCTCGCTGACATGTCTGCAATATCCAGAGAAACTTGGGTTATATTATTAGTAAACATGAAGTGGCAGTGGTGAAGAGAAAGCCATCAATTCTACGTCTACAATTCTAGGGAGATGTTTCTAAGAAGATTCTACCCGAATGTCTAACCAGAAAGATAAAGAATACTTCCTAGTCTGGAGATCTCTTCGTATCATTCAGTAGCCGTCTAATGTTCTCTCAGAAACTAAAAGTCGTCCTGCCTAATAATAAGTCATCCTCCTAATGTATTTTCCGTCTCAAGCATTCGCGTGGTTCAAGTTGTATGGGGTGTAGGAGGGGGTGTGTTCGCCTGTGGATTGAAGAGCATCTATCAGGCTAGTACAGAAAGGGTGCAATCAAATGCATAAAATGTTCAATCCTATCACACTTGGTGGATACAGGAGGTCTCATTAACGCAAACACAGCCTTCATTCATTATTCTATTGCTTTCCGAGTGCAACATAGGGCTTCACCAACACATCTCCAGCCTTCAGCATTGTATGTCACATTCCGAAGTCAATAACACGCACAGTTCGCCTACAACTTCTACCTATATATAAAGCTGTTGCAATAAAATCGGAACTATGTATCCAAAAGGAATACATTCAGGTGGTGTTGCTGCCGTGTTCAAACCTCAATTAGAAATTTTTCTCCCCACGAAGAGTGGATTTTCCTCATTTGTCTTTTGCTTTGGTGTTTTAGTTTTTGCTTCCTTTTGTTTTCATTCTGACAGTTTTAGCCACAATGCATTATAATTTATACCCTTCATTCTAGTATCCTTTGAACGCCATTGAATTCTCCATTTATAGTATTCTGACTTATTACTAGTGATATGATCTCTTTCCTCAATATATGCCTCCGTCCATTTGATTTCACATATTAGTTATTTCATGATGAAGCATTCACAGGTGATACTATCTCCACTTTGATGCATACTATTTCGTACTAGCCACTTACTCAACACATTTTACAACCTTGAACTAACTTATCGGTATTCATTCCCCTACCTTGATTGTATGACTCATCACCGCCATCATCTCGCATTTGACAATATTTTGTAACTGCATTCATTCCATCCCGTTTGTCAGACAAATATTAGTTGTAACAAATCTGTTAGTCTATGTTGCATAAATGTATTGTAGCGGCAGGAAATTCCCCAGAATTTTTAGCCACAGCGTTCATCAATGAACATTGGATGCGAACCCTCACTGTTTTATTCGATTCGTTTAGCTGAAGGCTTACGGTCAAGCATCCGTGCTATTTGTCACGCCGTCGTGTTACGTTCGTTCGTTCGTTCGTGAACGACACCTAGCTAGCTAAGCGATCATGTCGTAATCATCCGATTTGGTCCCGAAATATGCTTCGTAATTTGGGCGATCAATTCTGTTGATTTGCTTTGCCTTTGGTCTACGCGGAACGAAAACAATAGATGTTATGTGTAGTAGATCTTGCGTAAGTATACTTCGTACTATCCGTGAACGTCAACACCTCAGCCTCCAAACTGGTGACCCCTATCGCGAACTTCATCCTTGGTGGATACGCAGACAAATCCTGTGATTTCGTTCCATTTGGTATTTGTTCTTGCACTATTTATGAAGTGCATTCATTTCTCTATATGTGACCATACGCCGAAGGTCATGCGTATTCTGCCAACTAACAACACTATTCAGCTCGTGCTATTATGACCAGATAATGTGGAATCATGGTTTCAAATACCTGAGTCTGATTTCAGTCAACATGGGATTACTAGCCATCGTTCAGAGTTCCTTGAAGTTGTCCACGCTCTGCCGCGGGAATTCAGCAAATGCGTAATTATGCATTTGTGAAGTCCAGAGGTAAGTAACTCGTACGAGGTGCTTAATGCAACCCTCTGAAACAGAAACGACCTCATGTATCGGCAGCGTCATGACGAACTATTTCGCAACGTCGAGTTAGGTGATCAGTCGGCTGTGAACATGCTAACGAGAATGAGGGAAGTTGTCGGCCGACTTTGGTTCGACTAGGGACTCTTCAGAGAGCTGTTCTTATCCAACCGCTACAGTCAGTACAAGTTGTGCTTGTGACATTCCAAGGTGTTACTATAGTCGACTTAGCTACTTCTACCGATAAAATTCCAGAAATAACACAATCGCCAGTCACTGAAATGCGCTCGATTGCCAAACAGTCTTCGAGTGGAGACACTGCAGTGATCGAGTTATGCAACTCCGTTCAGCAACTACTAATATCAAACAGTCCCCATGTTTCCTCCTATCGTCAACAGAATTCCCCTCAACGCCGAAACCCACGTGGTCGGTCGAAATCCAAACTACTTTCACTAGAAAACACTGACTGGTGTCGGTATCACAATACCTATGTTTAGGAAGTGAAATATTGCCGAAAACCTTGTAATTTTGGCGATGACTCGAAGATTATGGGAAACCATTCCGCCGGCACATGTTAGTGGCAACAGTTGTAAGGAAAGTTCGTATACCGATGATTCCCAAGACTAGGATGAAACAGCTGTCCAATACTCCCTCCTGTTCAATGGTTCTCTGACTGATATCAATCCGTGGTCAAACTCGAATAATTCTTCCACAAATAATAAAGATGAAAATGTGGAGCGACTTGTGATGATGACGTGCCACTGAACACACATCGTGGTCTGGTTAAAGACAGAAAAAGGCCATCCGATATCCCGTTTTGTCATATTTGGTCGATAGTGTTCATTGAGTGGAAAAACAAGAGCATTCAGCGTTATTCATCTCAACTCGTCCTTGTTCTTGTGTTAGTTGTGTTGCGTAACAGTCTGCCTAATTTTGTTTTTCACTAACTGACTGAGTTGAAGTCACCATTATGTTTCCAAATTTACGTAATTGTTTCTGTATGTCATGAATTTACTCTTCACTCCCATCCTGTCCTGTTGATCCTTGCATCATATTATGTATAGATTCACTGTGTTGCTCGATCCTGTATTCCGTCTGTAGTCAATACTAGTTTCTATATATGGATATAGACATATGGATAAATTTGCAAGAAACGGTCAGAGGCAGTACAGAATAACTTTCAACAAAAAAAATCATTCAATCAGAAAACGTTGCTTCTCAGCCAACAACGCTAATAATGATGTACATAGAAATCTGTAAATATCACTTGATTTTCTGAATAATCGATCTGCTGCCTGGCCCTTGACAATAGGTTTTTGAATACATAATTTAGGTGTTTCTCCATGTATTGCCAGAGCTTCGGCTATACATAAGTGGGGAAAACATAAGCTGTTGAAGAAATTGTAT